GACAAGTCCATTTATGATATTGAGCAGGCTAAGGGTTAATCGTTGTAAAATCAATATACTGTTTCGCGGAAGGAAATTTTCAGTTGCCCCATTTCTGGTAAGGACATTTCTAAGAATAGTATTGCCTCACTTGTGGTAGGGACATTTCTAAGAAAAGTATTGCCCCACTACTGGTAAGAACATTTCTAAGAATAGTATTGCCTCACTTGTGGTAGGGACATTTCTAAGGAAAGTATTGCCCCACTTCTGGTAAAAGCATTGCCCCACTTCTGGTGACGACATTTCTAAGAAAAGTATTGTCCCACTTATGTTAAGACATTTCTTGGAATAAAGCGTTGCGTGTGCAAGGAAGATTTTAGTCACGCTCTTGATGTTGATCACTTATAAGTTTGTTAATAATTAAATTGTTTCATGTGTACTGTAAGTCTAGTTTATCGCCCATTCTCAATAAAATAAAGCATTTGAGGTTGAAAAATATTAAAAATTTGATGTTGTCATTGTGTCATTTTTTATCGCTGAAGTAAAAGTTTAGGGTATTTTGCCAGAAATATTTTGAACAAGAAACTATGATATAACAGGATGGCATTTATTTCGGTAATGACACTGTATTTCTTCGGTAACGTAGATTTCAGATCTAATAATGTAATATATTGGCTGCATATTAATAACAAATGTCTGTAAAATATATCAAAATCTGTAAATTCTCTATCTAGAGGGACTTTCTAACCCAGGAAAATTCAAAGAAGTTGGGTACCTTGCTAATGTTCAGTCAATTTTTTCAAAGTTAAATATTCGTAGAAAGCAAAAATAGTCAATTTTGAAAATGATTATTTTATGTCTTCATTCAAAGGATATATATCATAATATAATATATGAGAGGTCTAATGCATACACAAATTTTGTATTAGCAATTTTTTTTCTCAAAAATATTCAACTTTCCACTTTCTTAATATTTGGAAAATTTAGTACTAAACAGTTCGATATTTATCCCCATATAGGATGTCACGTATGTTTCATTTTATTCAAATGCAAGTAAAGGTTGAGAAAAACAATTTTATTTTTTGTAAAATAAGTTATATTTATGGATATTATTTTAACATTATTATATATAGAATGAAATACGGCCAGTAAGCTCTTTGCAGAAACGAATTAGTTGTTGCTGAGAACATCAATATCTTGTTATATATTTTTAACATTTCTGCTGGTACATCAACATATTATTAACATATCTTTCCTTTGTAAAAAACAATTTTGTGTCTTCTTAACATCTAATACAAGGTAACCGTTACTAACAGGCATGCTAATCCCAACTTTATCTTTAATTTTCAAAAATTGTTGAATTGTAAGTTGGAGTAACGTATGTTTCACACTCGCTTATTTATGAACTTTATCACGGAATTTAAACTTACATGTAAAATCGACTTTTTTATTTAGGAATCAAATGCACATCATTCTATTGTCATAAAAATGCGATTTTATGTTTTTATATATGCATGTGTAAACAATATAAAGTCTGTTTGATAAAAGTAACGTTTGTTTCACTGTGGTTACTTAAACAAGTAAAAACACGACCAAAGTTAACAAAATTTACTTACTAATGTCAAATAGAACTTAATGTTGATGTTATACGTGCTTTCTGACTTCAATTTCCCTTTTGATAAACTTACTTTAAAAAGTTGATAACGTATGTTTCTGTAACGTATGTTTCATTTTTACATTGAAAGTGGGTTAAAAATGACGCAAGACCGTTTAAGCCGCCATAATTTGTGGTTAATATATCAGAGTTACACACATGTTAATTTTCTTTCTTGTTTGGATTCTTCTTTGAATGGATTGGCTCTTAAATAATGGTAACGTATGTTTCTTTTAAAGTGCTGTTGAAAAGATTTGAATAAAAAATGAAAATTTCCGAAAATAGAATGATATTTGAGAGGCTGCAAGCTTATTTTAACTTATAATTATATATATGCTGTATTATTAAGCATGCATCGATTCAATTATGTAATTTGGGTTTCACTTCTTATTGTTTTAGGTTTGTCACTATTTATTTATATGCATTTGGCGACATTTGATCATCAATTATACCAATGAGATTTTAACAGTAAAATATAATTTTTACCAATAATCAAAGTGCATATACACACAGCAATGACTAATTGCACATGTTTCGTTTATTCTGGAACTTATTTTTCTGAAACACAATTTCAAAGTTGAAAATTCTAGGTGGCGACAGTAACGTATGTTACATTTTAGGGCATTAATGGTACTTGTAAAAGAAAAATAACAGATAGAAATGTAAAAATGAGAGTGTCCCTATTAGACAAAGTGGCAGCCACCTTTCTAACGACATTTTGACTTCAAGAAAAACCTTCGTATAAGAGCTACCCAGTGGAACATCAAATGCTGTGTTTTATTGAGAATGAGCGTTTATACGGGAAATTAATACTAGTAATAGACTTGTTTGTAATTAAATGTACCCTAACCGCAACCCTTCTTTGCCGTTAATGATTCATCTATAATGTGAACAATTTTATTCCAAGTGAAATAATAATTCAAGTGGGATGGGGGCAATGTGTGGGGCAATCTCAGCAAAAACAGATTCATTTTTATACTATCTGCAGTGAAATCATTTGTACATTATGGTTAGTTATTACCGAGAGAAGTTGTTGTTTACCTGTTGGTTTTTTTCTATCAATTACGGCAGAATGGAAACCAAAATCGTGTAACAATTACATGACTGAAAAAAGACATGTAAAACAAATTATAAATTCTTTTATTTTATAAGATGGTTTTTCCCGTTTTTAATCAGTTGATTTTCTATCCAACACTTACCCCGTCATCCCAGATAAATGTAATCATTTCCAACAAATCATTTTAATAAGTGAAATAACACGAATGTCTTTTTACATTCTAGCTATATCTCTATCAAAACTTTACAAATTTTAACTAGCAAATAAAAAAACAACGTTTTGTAAAGAAAGTGTCATGATGATGATTTGAGTTTTTTATTTTAGCTCGGCGCCGGGAATTCCATATGACCGTCCATGCTGGTCCACTGTAGAAGTCTCATCGGTGACGTCTTTTTCATGCCGACCTTCCTTAACCTGTTCTTCGTTCGTTGGAGGAAAGACGAAACTGACAAGGCACCATGTACCGTGACGACAGCAAACATGCAGCAAACATTAAACGGCTCTTGTTAGCGCCACCCTCCCGTGTTAGACACGGCAGGTCAACCAATCGTCTCTGGTACTTGAGACGACTTGACCTTGACTTGTCGTGTGCCTTCTCCGCGACGTGTACGCCTCGGGATGGCTTTGGAGAAGGAAAGTGTCATGTACACGTAATACCTTATTTATACTGATGGTCCTTTCTGTAACTTAAATGATCAAGACATTTTGGACATACACAACTGCTCACCAGTTTAATATTTACGTAGTCGTACAGACTGCATAAATCATAAAGAATAAAGAAAGATTCGTCACTGTCAAATTTTACGAAAGATCACATTGATCTTTATCAAAAGCAATGAAGAACATATCCGAATTTAATCATGGTTATTTCTAAAGAATTCTACGATTGTGCACTATTTGAATAGCGTTTTGATATTAGACGTGTGATATGCTTTAGGAGAAAACACTATATCTATCCCTTTCTTTTGTGGTATTTTGATAGTCCTTGATAAAAAAGCAAAGAAGCGATTTCTTTACCGCGCACATGCCGGATAGAGACTGAACGGTAGGCTAGAGGCCCATTATGCCTCAGAAAACGCTACTTTTTTTTCTTTAAAAAAAAAATGTGTTTAGTATTTGTTATAAATTAAAAAAATGAAAGCCCATTTACTATATAAAAGAACTTTATTTTGCCACTTTTGCTCAGTTAGCAATTGGTATATTTATATTGAATGGAAGTCAAAATACTACTTTTTTACCCTTTGCTACCTTTACAACACACAAATACACGTTCCGTGCTACTTCCATCGGTTGTTAATCATGTAACAAGTTCTAATTCCATTATTAAACATTATTATACACAAGTTTTACATTTTTGTTAATAGAAATAATATGTATTTCTGAGATTTTCCAGTTAGCGTTACGGATGTCACGAAAATATTACAGGTTTATCACAATATTTTCCTACCAGAAAAGAAAAATCTCTTCAAATTGTTAATTTTCTCTTTAAAAAGAAGACTGAAGTCACTGTATATCGTAAGTAAAATGAAAAAGTGTACCAAATGTTATTTGAACTGAGTCGGAAAAACATAGAACGATAGCCTAAAAATCAGCGCCGCAACTTCAAAATCAAGGCATTTTGAGTAAAATAAAATAAAAACGTTTCCTGTCTTCACTAAATAACAAACTCTTCGCACCAGTTAGTACTGATCACGGGAGGTAACTGCTGCGGGTAGTATTTGCTATGGTAGTTGTGATTATTTCCCTTTTTCCATCTTCTCCGTAGCATTCGTTCCTTGTTTTTTTATTTATTTAATTCATAAACAATTACAGAAATATCACAGATAACTTTAATCATCATCATTGATATCAACGTTAGTATAAAAACTGAAACTGTCATTGATCACACATACGATGTCCCAGATCACATGAAATCTAGGTTTAATACAATACGGATTTATAATGTAATTTAGATCCGTGACAATACTAATAAAAAAATAATGTCGGGGTTTATAGATAAAAACTGGGATATACGATAACTTATCGTATGTCCCAGATAAAAACGAACAAATGGGTTAATCTTGACTTTCTTTTCAATACCATGTTCTTTAAACTTTAAGAGGCTATAGACATGGAGCTTTTTATATTACATAACAATAAAAGGCTATTCTCAAAGTGAAATAACTCACCTAGTTTTCAGTTTTTCAGTTTCAAATGGGGTTTGTAGCTTATAACTAGACTAAATCTAGATTCTACCTTTTATCAGGAAAATATATAAAATTTCATTTAGAAAATAATTTATAAATTCCTCCCGCGCGTTTATATTTACGCATGCGCATTCTGGCGAGACTATCAAATAAACAAGTAGGGTTAGTATAATATTGAACGCCTCTTGAAAATGTCTGCAATTCTAAAATTAGGACGTGTCAGGTCAATATCGGGACTTTTTCGGACCCAGAAAGCATGCATGTCGGTGGCACTTCCGCAACCAAACCCAGAACCGGACATTAAATATACAAAGGTAATGTTTTTGTTTTGCTAATTAGCTATATGTAAGACCAGATCATCAGATCATTTTAGGCATACGTGTATAATTATCTGAGTTATCTAAATGTTCAAGCTTAGCTGCAGTATTTTCTGTTTATTTTTTTAACACAAAATAGAAGGTCACCTATTAGCTGAATTGATATTGCATAGCTGTATGCATAGCTGTATGCATAGGTTATTGATTTATAGATTTATCAATAGGTAAATTATTGATTTTAACGATGGAAGAACGCATATATACATGTATGTATGATAAATTGCGTAAATTACATGCAAGGTTATTGAAAACATAGTGTGTTGGGCACTAGACGCTAGATATTTGTTTTTAATTATTTGTGAATTATATTTTGTATGTGGTTGCTTTAAGTTAATAATAATTTTAACAGGTAAATTACACCAACTGGTATATTTGTTTCTCCAAACATTAATCTGTTAATTTATTGTTTTCAAATCTTATTTTGTTATAAAATAATTATTTATTACTTTACTTGGTTTAGAATAGCAAAATTGACCAGATTTATATTTCATTTTATTTACTTAAATAACAGTCTAGAAATGTTGATATTTGAATTTGAAACAGCGAGTTTACAACACTTATTTCGTTAGAGTTCTGCATGAAATATTTCTCTCATTTAGGTATTAAAGGATTTACTTGAAACTTTATACATATCTTCAGTAGTACATAGCTCATTTTACAAGGCCCACAACTCCAGCATGATTTTTTTCTGAGTTACATGTCTTTTTAACTGAAGCAGTTCCTGGGTGGTTGTGGGTTTTTATGCAAGTTCTTTGACAATAACTCAACATGTACTGAGAATAGCCTAACATGAAATTTATATGTTTTTCAATGTAGCAGTTTTTTGTTGTTGATTTTTATGATAATAAAATTTTATTTTTTAGAAAGTATACATTTTCATAGCAATTTATGTCTGTTTTGGCTATCATGATACGCTTGATTGAAGTAGGGAAATAGCAGTAATGGCCTTTTCTTATAAATGGTAAAATATTCTATGGCAGTCAGCCCAGCTTTAAATTTTGAAATATCCAATGTTACTTGAAAGAATATTGATTTTTCACTAAAATAAATGAATGATTTTGCAGCAAAATTATAAAAATTGTTTCCCTCTGACCTGGCTCTGTATTGTTAGAAAGTCTGCAATTAAAGTATTGATGAATGATCAGTCTGCATATTTTCAACCAGTTTCAGTTGACAAGATGTCCATTATTTTTAACAGCTTGATAGCAAATATTATCATTATTCACATTCTAAAAGTATAAACTTTATCAGTTTTTAATACTGTTGAAATGAAATTGTGTTTTTGATTTTTTACAGGTGTTTATCAATAATGAGTGGCGGGACTCTGTTAGTGGCAAAACATTTCCGACTGTTAACCCAAGTACCGGAGAGGTCATCTGCCAGGTAGCAGAAGGTGACAAGGTAAGAAACAATCTATAGTAAGATAAGATCTCTGGTTCTTAATGTGCATTGAGATTAAGAATTTATGTAAGGCGCCCTACCTTAGCCACAGATATATATATACATATATATATTTAGCTCCATGCCTAAGTGAATTGTTAAACTCACAGAGTTCAAATCACTTGCCCCACCGGGCTGTTTTAAGTACTTAGGAATTTTTTTTATTGGATCACAACTTCATTCATAGTGGTAAAATTACATCATCCTAAAGTGCCATTGTACAGCTCGCGACTCATCTGGCACCCCCCATGCCAGATGAAATTCCCGGCATGGGTAAATCTAACAGAAACACCAGTCTTGATATGCAAGAAATTATTATCTAGAAGTGTTCAACCTTCACATTTTAAGAGATAAAAAAATTTGGTTGTTCACACATTTTTAGTGCATGAAAACTGTATAATAATTGTAATAAAGTTTTAAGGTGGCCTATTTTTTTTCAAATATATAAAAACCAATTACAATATTTAACACAATGGGTTATTTTTGGATATAAGTCTAAAGCAAATGAATAACAAAATAATAATTATTAATAATTATCGAAGCGTGTTGTTCAATGATTTTATTGTTTTTTTGTTTTGGTTATTATTACTTTCTGACTTAAAGTACAGGGTTGTCATAAAAAGGTGGCTGGAGGCCAAAAATACTGTCTCAAATGCATTTTGGGGCCGCTTCAAAACTTACAAAACCAAAATACTCTTTGTTTTATATGATATAAATCTTATAATCATTGTCTCAAATTCAAAATAAGCCTTCTTAAAACAATCATAATGACAACCCTGATTTTAAGTATATAAAACATTATAATATCTACATGATCTTGATCTACTGCAAATATTATTGTTTGAATAAGAAAAATAGAATGCTTCCAATATGCCTGTATGAAAGAAACTATATTAAGCAATATAATAGCAAAATCTACTGCAAATATTATTGTTTGAATAAGAAAAATAAAGAACGCTTCCAATATGCCTGCATGAAACTATATTAAGCAACATAATAGCAAAATCTACTGCAAATATTATTGTTTGAATAAGAAAAATAGAACGCTTCCAATATGCCTGTATGAAAGAAACTATATTAAGCAATATAATAGCAAAATCTACTGCAAATATTATTGTTTGAATAAGAAAAAAAGAACGCTTCCAAAATGCCTTTATGAAAGAAACATGTTTGAATACATTTATGCCTTTAATGCAAAAGGCGCACATATGAACACATTTCTGAATGGTGAAGCACTTTTTAAAATTGCACCATTACATGTTTCCTTTGTTGTATTTGTGTGAAACTTAACTTCAGTAAGTGTTTGCATCAAACCAAAACTCCTTTAATTTTTTGCACAAAATAAAGTATTTTAAAATACACATAAACCATCAATTTATCTCTTCATGTAATTATACCCCCACCACAAAATGTGGGGGGGGGGGGGCTATAATGGATTCGCTTTGTCGCGTCGGTCGGTCCGTCCGTCTCCATTTTCGTGTCCGCTCTATAACTCCTATACCACTTGAAGGATTTTCTTCAAACTTTGCTCAAATGTTCACCTCAGCAAGGGGATGTGCAGAACTCATGTTGCCCATGTGTCAGCTCAAGGTCAAGGTCACAATTGAAGGTCAAATATCAAACACAATCATATATTAGACAGTATGTCATGTCCGCTCTGTAAGTCCTACAATAATTGAAAGATTTTCTTCAAACTTGGCTCAAATGTTCACCTCAGCAAGGGGATGTGCAGAACTCATGTTGCCCATGTGTCATCTTGAGGTCAAGGTCACAATTGAAGGTCAAATATCAAACAATTAAATATAACACAATATGTCGTGTCCGCTCTGTAAGTCCTACATTAATTGAAAGATTTTCTTCAAACTTGGCTCAAATGTTCACTTTATCAAGGGGATGTGCAGAACCCATGTTGCCCATGTGTCAGTTCAAGGTCAAGGTCACAATTGAAGGTCAAATATCAAACTATCAAATATTACACAGTATGTCATGTCCGCTCTGTAAGTCCTACACTTATTGAAAGATTTTCTTCAATCTTGGCTCAAATGTTCACCTCAACAAGGGGATGTGCAGAACCCATGTCACCGTTTTGCCTGCTTAAGGTCAAGGTCACACTTGAAGGTCAAAAATTGACTTAGAAAATGTTCTTAAATTTTAACATATATCTGAATATTTCTGAATCTAGGAAAGGTATTTACATGAAACTTAAAATATATATGAAGTGTCACAATTAAGGTATGCTTGTCAAGTTTCATAACTCTGTATTGCATTTAAACAAAGTTATGTCCCTTTTTAATCTTCAAATTTACATACAATCACATATTAGACAATATGTCGTGTCCAATCTATAAATCCTATACTAATGGAAGAATTTTCTTCAAACTACTCAAATGTTCACCTAAACAAGGTTATGTGCAGAATCCATGTCACCTTTGTGCAGTCTAAAGGTCAAGGTCAAAAATTGACTTAGAAAATGTTGTTAGATTTTAACATGTTCTTGAATATTTCTGAAAGTAGCACAGGTATTTGCTTGAAACTTAAAAGATATATGAGGTGTCACAATTACAATATGCAGGTCAAGTTTCATAACTCAGTATTGCATTTTGACAAAGTTATGCCCCTTTTTAAGTCTTTAAATTTACATACAATCAATACTAGAATATATGTTGTGTCCGCTCTATAAATTTTATACTAATGGAAGGATTTTCTTCAAACTTTACTCAAATGTTCGGCCCAACTGGACGATGTGCAGAACCCATCTTACCCTTGTGCCAGCTTAAGGTCAAGGCCACACTTGAAGGTCAAAAATTGACTTATAAAAAGTTTAGTATATTGGGAAAATGAAAGGTTATTTGTAACTGTTTCGAACATGATTTGATAAAAGATATTTATACTATTACCTGTACAATTAGTCTTTTTTTCACCAGAGATAATTTCTTTTTATGTATTTGTGCCACTTAAGTTATTTCCTTAACCACCTTTCCAAGTCGTCTTCTGTCAAGGACATTGGTGGGGGTATGAATCGCATTCAGCGATAGTTCTAGTTTGAATATGTCAATTGTGTCATCTGGCATGGAGGTTGAGGGGATGGGGAGACCTAGTGGTATTCTGGGGTTATGGTAGTTTTCAGGTATTTCAGCTAGACCTTAAAAAAAGTAATATAATTTATGCTTACAGTGTTTGAGTTCTAATTTCTAATTTCTTTTTTTTTTTCAAATGTAATAAAACTAAAGACTTTCATTGCAAGTCTATTACGTTATTGTAACATATGACTTTATTTGCCCTATAGGCTGACGTAGACATAGCCGTAAAAGCCGCCCAGGATGCCTTTAAATTGGGATCGCCATGGCGACGTATGGATGCTGGTGAAAGGGGCTACATTCTCAACAAAGTTGCTGACCTCATTGAACGAGACAGAAAATACCTTGCTGTAAGTTCCTCTTTTAGATAATAATGTTTCTAATCTTCCATTTCATTGAAGAATTATAATGATAATCAAGAGATGAACCGTTTTGACCAAAGTAAAGCCTTGCCATTACCATATTTGCTTGTGCAGTGAAGAGGATAATCCGGCCCACCTCTCATTAAATTTGATACTTTTTGCAATATCAAATGGGTTTTTTATAACAATAGCATTGATATTTGAAAGGTCATTTATCAGTGAAAGTACTTAAACAGTCCTGTTTTATACAACAATATGTTTACAATGTATTAATAGTTTGCTTAACGTACCTTATAATAGGTTGAATTAATTTACATTTATTAGATAAGTTTCGTGTTACATTATTTGTGAAATGATAAAAATCCTCATATAGATTGAATGAAATAAAAAGAAAGTAATATGACTATGAGCCGCGTCACGACAAAAGCAACATAGTGCATTTGCGACCAGCATGGATCCAGACCAGCCTCAGCGCAGTCTGATCAGGATCCATGCTGTTCGCTTACCAACTCTATTACAAGTAGAGAAACTGATAGCGAACAGCATGGATCCTGATCAGACTGCACGGATGCGCAGGCTGGTCTGGATTCATGCAGGTCGCAAACGCATTATGTTGGTTTTTTCAAGGCGCGGCTCATATGTATAACATTATATAGTACAACCTTAGTATTATGCATCATATGGAAATTAGATTTATAAGGAAAATTTATACATTCATTTGCATACCTTTAATGTGACCTTAAAAATATGTTTTATGGTCTTTTGGTTGTACTTAACGGTAAATATTAGAAAACCTTTTACGCTTAATTTAAACAGCTGAGTGCAACCTCCTCTGGTTGGTTATTGAAACATGTTTGTTTGATGTCTTATAAAGATATTTATAGATAAACGATAACACTATTCAAGCTATCTAGATTTATCTGGTCCAGGACGACCTATTTATTCAACTTCTATTTAAAGATACAAGGTAAATAATTACATGAAACTTGATCTTTGAAATTTGTTTATGGCTCATTTATAATTGTAAACAGATAATAAGGCTGCTGGTTGTTTACAAATGATACAAAGTAGATGGCTGTCAGCTCCACATATATGTTATCTAAATGATCCCTGAAAGAAAAATTGTCAAATCATTATTACCATGCAGTTGTTCTTAAATTTCATGAGAAAATCTTCAACATCTCTTATTGTGTTCTTTCAACAAATAAAATAACTTGTTGATTTATAGTAGATAGACACACAAAGGGTTGAATTGAAAAGAATAAACATAAAGAGTTTTAACTTGACTCTGTGTTCAGGAAGTTTAAGTGTTATATATGAAATGTTACTAAATATAATTATTCTTCCTTTAGTCAGTGGTTTTTAGCTCGACTATACGAAGTATATGGAGAGCTGTCCTACTCGCCCCGGCGTCCGTGTCCAGATTTTAGATTAAAGTTTTGGTGCAGTAAAATATTTTTCACTATTACTTTGTCATTTCTTAAGGTATCAACTTCAAACTTCAAATATATGTTCCTTATCATCAACCACATCTTATGTGACAAGGTTCATAACTCTAGCACCAATATTTTCAGATTTATCTCCCCTTGAACTTAGAATTTTCCTTAAAAAATACTATTTTTTACTGATACTTCTTTATTTCTTAAGGGATCAACCTCATACTTCAATTATATGTACATTATCATTATCCCCATCTTATGTGACAAGGTTCATAACTCTAGCACCAATATTTTCAGATTTATCTCCCCTATAACTTAGAATTTTCCTCAAAAAATACTATTTCTTACTGTTTCTTCTTTATTTCTTAAGGGATCAACCTAATACTTCAAATATATTTACGTTATCATCATCCCCATCTTATGTGACAAGGTCCATAATTCTAGCACCAATATTTTCAGATTTATCTCCCCTTGAACTTAGAATTTTCCTCAAAAAATACTATTTCTTACTGTTTCTTCTTTATTTCTTAAGGGATCAACCTCATACTTCAAATATATTTACGTTATCATCATCCCCATCTTATGTGACAAGGTTCATAACTCTAGCACCAATATTTTCAGATTTATCTCCCCTTGAACTTAGAATTTTCCATAAGAAATATTATTTTTGACTGTAACTTATTTATTTCTAAAGGGATCAACTTCATACTTCAAATGTATTTCCGTTATCATATTCCACATCTTATGTGACAAGGTTCATAACTCTAGCACCAATATTGCAAGAGTTATCTCCCCATAAACTTAGATTTATTTACTAGAAAAATGTTATTTTTTATTTTAACTTTTTTATTTTTAAAGGTATCTACCTCAAACTTCAAATACTTATTCCTTATCATCAATTACATTTTATGTGACAATGTTCATAACTCTTGAAGCAATATTTACAGATTAATCTCTCTTTGAACTTAGGTTTTCTTTAAGAAATATAATAACTTCTTTATTTTTTAAGGTATCTACTTCAAACTTCAAATATATATTTCTTATCATTACACAAATGTTGTGTGGTAAGGTTCATAGCTCTAGCATGACTATTTCTAGAATTATTCCCCTTGATCTTGGAATTTATGTTAACAAATGTTATTTTTTTACTATAACTTAATACATAATTATACATAATTGATTTTTCTTTCATAGTTTTGTCCTCCTTACTGCGTCCAGTATTTTATTAGTCGAGCTTCGCTGTCTCCTGTGACAGCTCTTGTTTAATACTGGTTTTAGGCTGTCCTAGTCTGTGTGCACTTCTTCAACCATTCTAATAAAATGCGAGTCAAGTAATTGTCATTATGTTATCTTGTGCATATCTTATCATAAGGAATTTGACCTTGATTCATATAAGACCTTGATCTTCAAGGTAACGCATATTGTTCCTATATTTTTTTTTTGTCTGAAATTAAAACTGGCTATAATTGTCTGAAATTGTATTAATAACAGATACTTGGACATAAAAACATGTTTGACAATTCCTTCAACTAGGTCAATCTTGTTATAACCTTGACCTTTATATGACCTTGACAAAATAATTATTATCAAGTTGAGCAATTCAAGTTTGGCCTTGACCTTTAAATTATTTTGAACTGCAAATTATTGAATTTTCATGAAATATTTTCCAAATTTTGAAAGTGAATAAATGGATTTTATTAATTTTTGGACAAAACAAAACTCTATTTATTTTTGGACAAAACAAACTCATAACTTAAACATAACAGAATTGATGTTTTTTCTTATATAAGGAAGGATGATGTTATTCATTTATGAGGCATATAAGTGTGCCTTTAAAAATTGTTAACAAAATTCACTTTTGCATTCTTTGCCTTAATTGGCCTGTCCACAAATTAGCAAAAAAAGAAAACGATAAAAGTTAAGATGGATTTTCAAACAAAGGGTTATCTGTAACATGTTGATAAATGCAAACAATTGAGGTGGAAAGTTCAAGGTTTACATTTGTCCTATTGTAATACACATATACACAGCTTGCAATCTTCTTGATAGCCTACAATCGTTTGTACATGTAGGTTATTCAGAACAGTTAATACAGATATTTATAGTTTTGATCTCCATTAAGAGAAAATTAAAATTGCTATATTCTTAGTTTACCAAATTATCCTCAGATTGATCTGAGGTTATCAAGTTCATTTGATTTCCACAGAAAAATATCTGAATTCTTTTTTTTTTCCTGCTTGAATTTTTGTTTTCTTGCTACAGAGTCTGTCTGTCTGCATGTCACAAAACTTGTGTGGACTACTGCTCAAAAATTTAACTGGTGCAATTTCAGCTTCACTGAAGCTTGTTTGAAGTACTCTTGCAGTTTTATCCAAACTTTACAGGAATTATCAGTACTATTCCTAGTCTAGTTGTGCATACTGTGGTCATTTTCCATTTCTGTAAATTTTGTCAGATCAGGTGATTAGCCTTTAATTTGTTTTGTTTTTTAAAAGCTTTGTCCAGACTACTTCTCTTATCAATACTACTTATTCAGTTTGAGTGAAACAGGATTGATTGAAACATCAAGAACTTGCTAATAATAAATGGGTTTTCGAGTTGAATGATTTTTGGCTGAGTTATAGCCCTTGAATAAAAAAGATTTTTGCTTGTTAACATTTTTTGTGTCAACTGTAACACAGTAGCTCCAACATGCTACAAAGAAGCAGCAATACACATAAGGAACAAACTGGTCTATCACCTCTAAAAACAACTGCTTAATTTGCTATCGTCAAGAGACACATGTAAATCACTGATCACTCTAATGTTTCAATAAGTAATACATTTACAGTTATAATTCATTTATATAAAGTTTGCAAGTTTAAAATACAGAAAAAGGATGTTCAAAGTTAAATGTATAATCACATTAATTCTGATAATTTACCTTCATAGGCAGAGAGATGCATGTTGATAAATGGAAAAGTATTCATTTTGAAACGCCTGAGAAAATTTCAAAGGACATACAGCGCATGTTTTATTCAAGCCTTAAGTAAAATTCATATAAATACATTGACTTGATAGATAGTAATAATAAAAAACATGCAAAATGCAAGCTGCAATTTATAAACGATTTTATGCATCAAAGAATCTGATGTAATTAAGTTTTCATTTTCAATCATGATTTTATATTTACGTTATGAAATAAGTGACATTTGCGATGCACCAAGTAGTAAATCAATGTACTTTTAAATGTAAATTAATCAACTTTGAAAATAAATGCATGTAATTTAGAAATAATATCGGTCTTAGCGGTGTTTATTGGCAGTTTAACACCGTTTTTTCTTCTTTGTCTATAGTGACAAAATCACGAGGAGTTTTAGAATACTGTATATATAATGCACATTCTTAAATTTATTTTTTTTTGTCAATCTGACAAAAGATAATGTAGATTCAAAATTTCGCATAATCTGTAACGCCTGAGGATGTAAAAATGATTGAATAGTATATATTTTAACCATTAAGGAATTTTGAGTTTTCTGTCTAGAAATGTTATTGCCCTTGATTAAGTCAAGAAGTTTTTGGACTTAGAATATCTGTCATGTTGCAGTTCGGATCAGAATATCATTCCCAAGGGGACACGCCATACAATGTGGCCAGCAAAACAAAAGTTAAAAGGTGTATTTCTTATTAAGAAATCTGTTTATTTTCTTTTAGGAATTGGAAACATTGGACAATGGTAAACCGTACAATGTGTCCTACAACACCGACCTTACTCTTGTTTTACGTTGCTATAGATACTATGCTGGATGGGCAGACAAAAATCAAGGCAAAACCATTCCTATTTGTAAGTCAACTTTCCTTCATTTTTTGAGAATGTTTGATAAAAATTGTACACAGTTTTATCCCCCCCCCACCAAAAAAAAAAGTTAACTTTTGGTAGTTGCTATTGCCCTGCTTCTTAAATAAACTTTTCATTTGTAACATAAATTTTCAAAGGTATTAACGTTAATTACTAAAGGGTACTTTTGAACTGAACTATTTCTACCCATGCAACCAGTGCAGACCAAGATAAGGTGGTATAACCATGTTGTCTGATCATGATCTGCGCTGTTAACAATTCTGACAGTCATTACATATTTTGAAAGTTTTCCTAAAAATGTTGAATGGTTTTATCCAGATTGAAAGATTGACAAGTCCATTCAAAAATATTTACTAATAATATAACTTAGAAAGGCCAAGATCACCTATCTCTTTTTAACTTACCATTTTTAAGTTTAAATGGGTAAAAATTTAGTGCTAAATTTGTGAACAGTCGTTTGTTTACATCAAATCTGCACGTAATTTTTTCAAGTACATATGTACTTGTAAATGTATTTTATGCAATAAGAGACAGAGACCAGTCATGAAAAGGCATACTGTCTTGTATAATTGCCAAAAAAAAAATGTAACACATTTGAATTATAGTACTTTTTGTATGTTTTAAGATGGTAGATAAGTGAATCTTTCATGTGATCCATCACATGATATATAGTTAACTGTCCTATGTTTTATGTAAGTTTGTTGCATAAATTATGAAGGTGATTGATAGATGTGAAGTATATTGATGAGAAGATAAATCTTTATGTGTGTTTTTACATAGAGAATATAGAGGTTGTTTACATCAATTTTATAAGTGGAAATGTATAGTCTTTATGCTGAATTATTGTCAGTGTTAGCCAGGGGCTGATATAAAGTCCCATAATCAATCCAAGATAGCCACATTTCCTATAAATTGTATATAAAAATATTTCAAATATCTGTAAAAAAAAAACAAAAAAAACTTGAGATAAGTTTTAATTTGTTTCTTGAAATATGTGTCAGAATATTTCAGTATATTCTATAGATAAAATTTAAAGTCATAGAAAGGTAGCAGCAGCATTAGCAGTAGTAGTAGCTGTAATAGTCACTGTAGCAGCTATCTGTAGTAGCTAGCCATAGAAGTAGTAGCAGCTAGCAGCAATAGTAGCAGCAGTAATAGTTGCAGTAGTTCAGTAGCAGCTAGTAGTAGTAGCTAGCAGCAATAGTAGCAGCAATAGTAGCAGCAGTAGTTCAGTAGCAGCTAGCAGCAATTGTAGCAGCAGTAATAGTTGCAATAGTTCAGTAGCAGCTAATAGTAGCAGCTAGCAGTAGTAGCTAGCAGCAATAGTAGCAGCAGTAGTTCAGTAGCAGCTAGTAGTAGCAGCTAGCAGAAAAAGTAGCAGCAGTAGTTCAGTAGCAGCTAGTAGTAGCAGCTAGCAGCAATAGTAGCAACAGTAATAGTTGCAATAGTTCAGTAGCAGCTAGTAGTATTAGCTAGCAGCAATAGTAGCAGCAGTAGTTCAGTAGCAGCTAGTAGTAGTAGCTAGCAGCAATAGCAGCAGCAGTAATAGTTGCAATAGTTCAGTAGCAGCTAGCAGTAGTAGCCAGCAGCAATAGTAGTAGAAGTAGTACTAGTCATTTTCCCACAAATTGCCAGAAATGCTGTACAATTATGTTCACATAAACAAATCTATAAAAAAAGTCATGTGCTCTGTCTTGGCCTTGATTAATTTTGAAGAAGCATTTTATGTTTATGTTAATGAAAGTTTGTGGTTTCAATTTCATGTACAATTAAATGGTTTTTAAGTACAGAGAAACCACCGGTAAAGACTGTCACTTAAAAAAAAATCTGTAATAATAAAATAAGCATAAGTGGTAGGCATCGTAATAAGCAATATAATGGCCCCTTTTTTCTTAAATTGTTCAAAACCTTATTAATCTAGGTATAATTGTTAACAATTTTTATTTAATTATTTATTACTTTGAAGACAGTAGTAAGAAATAGCTTTGACATAACATGTGTTTTTTCAATTGTTAAAGCCTTGAAACATGATTGTATTTCAAATTGTCATATTATTTCTTCAATTTAGTATTATTTAATATAAAAGTTAAAATTGATTGTAATTGATAGTTTAAATAATGATAACAGTAATCATTCAGTTATTTAACAATGGCCATGAAAGTCTGCATTTTATTCATATTATATCTTATTTAATTATGTAATTTAATAATTTAATAATACAATATTTAATAATTGAATTCTCATTCAGTGCACCTGTTTCTGTAAACATACATGCAATAATTTTGAAAGTTACACTGATATTTCTGAATAAAGCTTCTTTTATTAACTTGATGAAACATGCATTTTATTTGTGCAATGGTAGGAGCTATGAAAATAACATAATTAACCATTGCCACAATAAATATCTTATACTTACTTCACCATCTTTCAATGTGGACAAAAACCGTTCATCATTTTAGGGACAATTTCACAAAATAAGTACTGAATGTATAGTGAATAGTGCAGACCATGATCAGACGTCACATAATTATGTAGATTCTGTCTTTGTCAGCAAACTAAGAGTAAAATGAAGACTGTGACAGTCATGTTTTTTTTATACATTTACAATGATTATGAATTTATGTATTATTTACGTTATGTTTTTGTAATGGTGTAAATTGGTATTGGTAATGGTTTGGTAATGTGTAAATTGCTTCCTTTTGGTGACTTCATGATATTATATACTTAAAAAAAACATCATGAAAGAAAGCTATCCTGAAAATTACCATGAAACCATGAAATTGGAGGCATTATTCAGTAACTGCTTAAATGCCACTTGAACAGAAATAGTTTAGATAGGTTTTAACTTTGATAATGAATCTCAATTTTATCAATTAGGATGATTTTCATCCACAACTCTAGTACACCATTTACATTTAATAAAATTTATCAAACTGAGTTTAAAAATGTTAACAAATCCCAAGGAAATAAATATAAAGAAAATTGTTAAATATATATACATGCAGCCTACAATTATCAGCAATAAATTTTTTCTAGGTATTGACCTTGAAAATATCTTGAAACTATGGTACTTGAATGACTAATGAAAACCACAAGTTCTATGACATTTTATGTCCTTATTTAATATGATAAAGCGTTTTATTGCGGAAATCTAAGCATTGTGAGAATGTGCCACCTTGTTATCAGGAAACTCAGATGTTTCAATGTAAACAATAATGATAGGGAGAGGAAATTAAATGTGTTTTTTTTTCAGTAAGCACTTCATGGAAATGTATGATTTGATCAATGTTGATGTACTGTCCAATCAACATCTTATTTATTTTATTTTTCTGCTTCATACTTCTTGCCCCTCACCAATGTGGGTTTTAATCCCAACAGGAACTTTAGGATTCTTCCATGTGAGGAAGCTTAGTATAATTCAGCTGGCTTACGGAACGTCGGTGGTTCTACTTGGGTGCCCGTTTGTGAATGAAATGAGCCGCATCACGACAAAACCAACATAGTGTGTTTGCGACCAGCATGGATCCAGACCAGCCTGCGCATCCACGCAGTCTGATCAGGATCCATGCTATTCGCTATCAGTTTCTCAACTTGTGATAGAGTTGGTAAGCGAACAGCATGGATCCTGATCAGACTGCACGGATGCGCAGGCTGGTCTGGATCCATGCTGGTCGCAAACGCACTATGTTCGTTTTGTCGTGTCGCGGTCCAAATAATTCTCGGAAGGGCACCTAAGATCTTTCTCTACCAGTAAAGCTGGAACGTTGCCATATGACCAATGCTGTGTTGGTGTAAAAGTTTGTTTGTACCCCGGGATAAGATGGGAAAAACCCACATTTGCCGAGTTCTGGTTAACATCTATTACATGATGGGGTCAGGTCCGTTGTTTGGTCACAAACAATGTTTCCCCATTTATTGACATGAGAATGGTACATAAAAGGTTTAAAGCAATAAAGCAAAAATCATAATGCTTGAATTAAATAAACTAAATTTTTTCAAAAATATGGCAGACAGTTATGTCATTGATTGCCTTGGTAACATGAATCTGTTTCCTATTTCCAGGGGGAGATTACTTCAGTTACACAAGACACGAGCCAGTTGGAGTATGCGGACAAATTATCCCTGTAAGAATAATTATTTTGTTGTTGTTTTTCATTTATCACAGCTCATTTAATATAGAGATCATTACATTCATTAGAGTCTGGTTGAAAATTTTGGTTGTTTAATTTTCAATTGTTCTAATTGAGAGAAAGTTTTGGTTTGATTGTGGACGACAAAATCATCCTCAGCTATTTGCTATTTAAAGAATAGGGAGAGATGTTGCAGTCAACTAGCCTTGTTTGCGTAACACTGGTTAAGTGTTTTGCATGCAGTTTGGTATCTTCAAAACTACTGACGGGAATGGGTTGAAACTTCACACCTATATCTGAGAGCATAATAGGAGGTCACTTTCCAAGGCCCATAACTCTAACATGGATTTTGTAAGAATTATGGCCCATTTTGAATTCAGAAAATTCTACATTATCAAGGCTCTTGTTTAACAATCAGGCACTGAGAGTAGCTGTCTTGACAGGTCATGTTTTTACTTAAAAATGTATTGATACTGATCATATGTTTTGTTCTTTCCTCAAATTTTGAACTTAAAATATTGTAGATTATTGTGGCTCTTGTTTTACTATCAAACACTGAGAATAGCTGCCCTACTGGCAGGTTATGTTTTAACTTTAATGTACTGATACTGATATGTTTGTTCTTCACATAAACCTCTACTTCAGATCAATAGGGTCAATGTCCTTTACCATTCCACCCCCCCCCCCCCTTATCCCCAATGACAATACACCTTTAAAACCTATTAAAATTCTATTTTCATAAATCTTCAACTAAACACTAATGTGTAAATTACATGTATTTAAAACGTCTTTACGCCTGTTTTGAAAAATCCTAAAATCTAAAAACCTGTAAAATACATGCTATTTTACACAAAGTGGGTTAACTTTAGTTGTCAAGGTATTTGTGATATGTCAACAAAATGCTAAATTTATTAATGTAGCTCTTAAAAACCCCCTACTGTCAATAAAGATAGTTTTTTGTCCTGTTTTATGTTTGATAAATAACTTCCTTGCAAGTACACAAAGTCATGTGGTTTGTGTATTAAAATTGTCCCATTTATTTTCCTTTTTCCTCAATAGTGGAATAAGCTGATTAAAACTGTTTGCGTAACTATAAAAAAAAGAAGAAAAGAAAATGTCATATTATGACATTATATATGAATTGCAACATTTAAATTTACGCTATACTTCCAACACTTACCAATAAAAATTTCTGTTGTGTGTTAAGTATGGTTTCCATTGCAAATGACATTTGCTTTAAATGCTATTTTATGTTGAAAAAAACCCCAACAAAACAAGCTTATCATTCTTTTAGATTATTTTGTCATTTGCACGAAATAAAAAATGGCAGCAGTGTAATAGTCACTATGTTGATTATATGTATTTTTATATTTCAATTATGAAGTATGTCTATTGAAAAAAATGTTGTATACATTAACAAAGTGTTTTGACCTAAAAACATTTCATAGACTGACAATTAGGACAGTTTTACCATAAAAGATAACCTAGCTTGGCTGACTTATGTATAAACTACTGGTATCAAATTTGTTAATCTATACTGTAAGAAAAGTTGCTTGACCTTGATAAATTGATACTGTTGAGTGGAGGTAAACAATACAAGTCAGTTAATGGAATCAAAGTACTTAAGGCACTGCAGGCAGATTTGTATTTTTGCAAGATTATTTATTTGCAAAAAAAAAAACAACATTTAATACTTTAAAGTTTTCATTTGAAAAATAGAGCCAATTTCTTAGTCCAGTTGCACTATTTTCCAGTTGAATTAATTTCTGCAGATATCAGTAGTTTATTTTCTGGCTATAAATAAAATGAACAAAGCTCCAAAAATGATGTTTATATTAATTTTTTTTATAAAAGTTACTTTCTCACCGATTCTTAATTGTGTATTCCTAATGATTGAAATTTATGATTTTAGCCATCTGTTTCCTTTCACATAAGTTAACTGTCAGATTTTAAGATTTCATTTATATGTACATATACTATTATTTTTTCTTTCCCATGTTTTTCTTGTAGAACTTCAGATTTTAAAATTTCAGTTTACAAAATGTTTGTATTTGTATTAACACCTATTTTTTAACATTTTTTCCCAGTGGAATTTCCCATTGTTGATGCAGGCATGGAAGCTCGGACCAGCACTAGCAACAGGAAATGTTGTTGTCATGAAGCTTGCTGAGCAGACGCCCTTGACAGGACTTTATATTGCCTCCCTTTTTAAAGAGGTAAGGCCATTACTAAGATAAAAGTGAATGGTCAACAAATATGTTTAAAGTATATAATGCTATATATCTGCTCGGAAAAATATTGTTTATATTTTAAACGAGATTCTCCCAGTATTTAAATACTGGAATCTTGAATTCTTTATCCTTTTGGGTGTTTAACCTTTTACCTCATGAGCATTTTGTGAAAAATATGGCTGTTCTCATTGAAAAGCCTCCTGTTACAAGTTCAAACTGCTATGAAACTATGAAAAATGCTTGAAAATACTGATGAATCTTGGCACAAATGTCGACTGGACCATAGCCTTTGTAACAGCATGCTCAATCTTAAATTTCCTGTTACCATGGCAATAGGGGGACGTTTCAAATTTGCCAGAAATCACTATTTTGCACTGTGTTTTTCCTTCAAAAATGATTTCAAAGTGCTGCAACTTCTCAATTGACTGAGATTGAGTAAAAGGCTTTTCAGCGTTGGTTACACGTTACCTTGCAATCAACCTGAGATCATTTTTAGTCTGTCACATGTTCAAAATGTTCTTGACGATGACGTGAACTGCCGCCCCCTTCAAACCTCGAAATAGAAGGGGGCACATGCCCCTTCTGGCAACCCCTTGATGTACCTTTTTGATGGAGGGCGGCACCGAAAAAGTGATCACTTTTAACAACATTTCTCAAACAAAAAACTGTTTGGGGCCTAAATGGGGTAGTTTTTCACTGTTTGAGGCCTCAAAAAAAGGGGGGATCGAAAAGCCGTCAAAACACGACTATATGAGGTAAAGGGTTAACTAATTATTCTCCCAATATTTTGATATTGTTATCTTGAATTCCTAATCCTGTTGGCTGTTAAACAAATTATTCTTCCAATATTTTGATATTTAAATCTCCAGTCCTTAATCCTATTAGCTGTTTAACTCGGAATTCTCCAAGTATTTTGATATATTGAAATAATTTAGTGTACAGTATTTTGATTATAAAACAAATGATGAAACATTCAACACAAAGTTTATTCATGGGAATTATTTAGCATAAGCTATAACTTTTAATCACAAATGAAATTCTCCTGGAAACATTGAAAGTAGTGTTCTGTGTTATCTGCATCAGATCTGAAATTTTATAAACATCTTGTCTATCTTACCCCTGTATAAAATCAATCTTTCCTGTTAAAATACAGCAGATTCATTCTTATGTGGTAAAGAAAACACCTGTTTTAACAGTTTCATGTAAGAAAAGATAAATCTTAATTTACTGAACAAAAAAAAAATTATAAGAATTTGGCGGAAAGTGGTGGGGTGAGGAGGATTGTTGTATAAGTCACAGGGGGTTGTTGTTAATGAATTATTATGCTGAATACTGCCAAAACAATTCAAAAGAAAAAAAGTTGATGCTACAAAAGTTGATTTTAAAAAGTCCCTGTCAGTGTCTTAGGCAAAATGAAGAACACTGAGTTGTGCACAGCGCAGTGCATGCAGTCACAGGTTATCGGCGTGGGACCAAGCCCTACCCCTAAGGTACCACCCCCCAGGACCCTCTATACTACCCAAATATACTTCAATACATTCATACTATAAAGTTTATAGTATCAGTATTATATTTTTTGATAGAATTGTTTGATTTTGTATTGACATGTATTTTGAATGTATTGAAGTATATTTGTGTAGTATAGAGGGTCCTGGGGGGTGGTACCTTAGGGGTAGGGCTTGGTCCCACGCCGATAACCTGTGATAACAAGTAGAGAAACTGATAGCAGACAGCATGGATTCTGATCAGACTGCGCGCAAGCGCAAGACTGCGCGTAAGCGCAGGCTTGTCTGGAGTCATGCTGGTCGCAAACCCATTATGTTGGTTTTGTCATGATGCGACTCATTTATAAATGAAAATTAGCTGTATTACATTCTTGAACATTGAAATTATTTTTTACATCCCCCTATAAATGTTTGAAGTTTCATTGGCTTTTCATTGTATAGTCAATTTACCGGTTCTAATTAGATGTTAACTGATATAAAGAAATATTAAAATAATTTTTAAAAAAAGCTCAAAATAGTGAAGTAAGAGGGACTGTAAGTGTTTAGCTGTTTAAGATTAATTTTTTGCTCATTAGTATTTTAACTAACTTAGTCCTTGAACTACTTTTTGTATGTGCACAAACTGTTTTTCCAGGAACACTTGATGTTTAAAGGCCCAGTAGGCCTCAGAAATGCTATCCTTTTTATTTCCCAAAAAACTTCTTATTTTTTGGTATCTTGTGATAAAAAAATTACATACTCATTTGTCATATGATTGAACCATTTTTGCTTTATTGGCAATCGGTATAATTAGAGTGAATTAGTATTTTGTATGGAAGTCACAATACTACTTTGTTTACATTTTGCTACCTTTATGACACATATAACTTCACATTCAGTGCTACTTTCTTCAGTTGTTTTAACATCTATCTTGCTCTTAATCCATTGATAAAACATGATTAAACATATGACATGTTTTTACATTTCTAAAAAATTTAATAAATACAGATTTTTGAGGCATTATGAGCCTTTAAATAAATGGTTAAATAAATTAAATGAGGACAGTTTATGCAAAATATACTGTCATAATTTTTCAAGCTAGGTCAAGAAAACATGTATCTTTTGAAAGATAAATTAGGATTTATGCAAATAAAAAATAATAGAATACTAAGTTGAGGGTCATATTCAACATACTAACCCAATTTATGTGTTCCAAGTTCTTATGTTTCTTTCACTATCTATATATAAAGTATAGACAATTAATATTCACTGCTTTTTAGCTCGACTTTTCTATGAAAAGGGGAGCTATCCTACTCGCCCCGGCGTCGGCGTCGGCGTCACACCTTGGTTAAGTTTTTCGTACCACCCCACTTTATTTCAGAAGTATTACAAGTATGGCTTTGAAACTTACCATACTTGTTCACCATCATAACCTCCATCTACAGACAAGAGTACATAACTCTGTCAAGGTTTTTGACAGAATTATGGCCCTTTTTTGACTTAGAAAGTGTATTGAGCTTGGTTAAGTTTTTTGTACCACCTCACTTTATTTCAAAACCATTGGAGGTATTGCTTTGAAACTGACCATACTTGTTTACCATCACGACCTTCATCAACAGACAAGAGGACATAACTCTGTCAAGGTTTTTGACAGAATTATGCCCTTTTTGACTTAGAAAATACATTGAATATGGGTAAAATCCACTTATTGCCTTAACCCTTTGAGATATTGCTTTGAAACTTTTAATGCTATTTCACATCATTACCCCCATCTGTACGCAAGAGAAGGTAACTCTGTCAAGGATTTGTTTTAAAAATTAAGGCCTTTTATCGACTTAGAATCTTGGTTAAGTTTTTAGTACCAGTCCACTTTTTGACTGAACTGTTTGAGATATTAATTTGAAAGTTGGAATACTTGTTTACAATCATGATTCCCAAACATGTCCAGGAGAAGGTAATTCTGTCAAAGATTTTATTTGAATTATGGCCCTTAACTGTCAATGTTTTGTATTATAGGCAAGCACTAAAAAACTTAAAAAATCTAAAAAAATTCATTCCTATCCACTTGTTCACTTTACCATAAATTATGTCATATAAACATTGCTGTAATATTCAAGGGTATCAAACAACTAGTTTTTTTTTCTTTCTTACCAGCCCTCTTTTGACTTAAACATTTCAAACTTTGCTGCAGTGTTCAAGGGTATCACACAATTCAGTAAAATAATTCTTCACTAAATATCTTAATGCTCATGGCCATTGTTCACTTTAAAAATACAGAGATTCTTGTATTGCCTTTTACTGCAAAAACTTTTTTTATTGGCAAGCAATAAAAAAGTCGAGCGCGCTGTCTTACGGACAGCTCTTGTTTCAGTCTGCTATCTAGAGTAAAAAGTTCATTCACCCCATTTTTATATTACAAAAGAAGTAGAGCATTCCCAGACTGTATTGCTCTATTTATTGAAAAAAGTTGTATTTCCAGATTGTATATTGCTCTTTGATTATCTTGTAAAGTACTTTACTTAACCTTGGCATGATTTAAATACACAGAGTTTTGTAAACATCTTATCAATTTATGGATACAATGTCATGTATGTTCTCTATGTACTCTAGTGTTTACAGTGTTCAACAAAATTAATGGGGTTTACATTTTAAAAGCCGAAATGCCATAACCCTATACCTTTGTATTAAAGTGTTTAAACATGTTTAAAATTGTTTTTACTGGTAATATAACACATAAAGAAAGGAGATATAGAGATAATATGATCTTAGCTTAAGTTAAGTGTTTAAGTGACCTAGATGTAGATGACCAGGATGTTGAAAATTATAACCGATCTCAAAAAAAGGAGATCATTGCATCTTTAATTGCATTTGAATATTAACAGTTCATTAATCTAAATGAAATTTTTATTGATTTTTTTTTTCAGTTATGTTTTAAATGGCAAAGAATCTCTAGATATACATGTTGGATTCACCTCATATTCATTGGCCTCTAAAGATTAAGCATAATATGGAAAAATGCTTTTGATATTAATTAATCACAACAAACTTATGCTCTGACATCGTCCCCTGAGTTATTTTGAAACATTTATTTATAGTTCTCATGTTCGGTTTGTTGTAATAGATTTGATTGGCTATCACGGCTAAAGACAATATAACCTCTAATCAATTTCTCACAAACCAACTAGATCATTAGTCTTAAAAATACAACTGAACAACTTTATTCTTCAAAGGACCCAACATACAGGGCATCACCGTGTTTGAAATTAAGATTTGACTTTTGGAGACACTTAATTTTTTTGTTATGCTCCCCCAAGGGTGAGCATAATTATGGTGGCCACTTTGTCTGTCCGTCAGTTTGAAATTATTGCATTTTGAACTTCGTCAGGGACATAACGCTGAAAGTATAAAAGGAATGCTTTCCTGTATCCAAAACCTCACCCGGCTCAGCCGACTCTTGTTTATATATGTATTGTGCTATTAGAAACTTACAATATGTTCTTTTTATAATAGGCTGGTCTTCCAGAAGGAGTACTCAATATTATCCCAGGGTATGGACCTACAGCAGGAGCTGCAATCTCCAAACACATGGATGTACATAAAGTTGCCTTTACTGGATCTACTGATGTATGTGTCCTATTCTTTATCTAATTGGTTTCCCTAGTATTTAATTCTTAATGTTTAGTGTGTGGATAATCAAACTTTTCTTGCATATCAGACATGATTATAGAAAAACCTGTTTTACACCCCCCCCCCCCCCCCCATGTAAGACATATGCTATTTTAAGAAAAAAGTGCATAATGAAAATATCAGATTTCCTCATTTCTGTTCTGAAAATAATTGACATGTAATATGCAAGAAAAATAATCAAATACCGGCTGTCGGTGACCGGAATTATGATGATCTAGCTCTCTTGTAACTGTTAAGCAGAAACTCGGCAGAACCTAGCATCTTTACTGCTATAAACAATTAGCCTCGTGCTAGATATTCCGGTCTGTACCGGTAGCCAGTGTAAGATTCTTACATGTATAATGTAAGTCCTAATTTGTGACTTACAAAGGCACAGAGAGGGAGGCATCCTTAAAATTGCCAATTTAAGATAAGTTCAGGTCACTGACTTGACGTAAATTATTATTAAGTATTGTGTAAGATCTTTTGTTAGTTATAATCATTTGAGATCATTATCCAGCCACCTTAAAGAAGGTCAGGCATTGTACCCTAGTTCTAGCTTGTGTCAATGTTGATGAAGGCATTTAAAGCTAAATAGTCTATTCGTGACATAAAGTATGACTTTGAATATAACCCAAAAGTACATGCAATAGGGTATGTGAGGTGAATTTTAAATGTGGTAAAAGAAAACTATTCAGATGCATTTTCAGTCATAAAATATCATTATGTTATTAAATGCATCATCATTCTGTGCATGAGAAATTTTTGCTGAATGGTGATGCACATCTTTTACCGATTTATGTTACTACTTGCTTAATATTCTAATAAAATGTGCAATGAAATGTTTTTAAACACCAGTGATAATTGATGTTTTGGTGCAGTTTAGTGTTGGGTGTAAATTTATAGCTGCATTTTTCAATGGTTGATATTTACCCAGTCCTTGATGTTGATGTCACTTAAACATTCTTTTATGCATTTGTTGTCATTTGTAGTCATAAAAGCTGCATACCTGCAGATAAGCCAAGATATTTGAAGAAAATCAAACTTGTGAAAAATGTTGTAAAATTTAAAGGAAAGTAAAAAGATATAAAATTATAAAAGATTAAAGTAATACTGTACATGTTGTGTGTGATAAATAACTAGTTTTTGCAGTTTTCATCACCAAACTTCTGCTGTATGAGGCATTTTTATACCCCCAAAAAGGAAGTTTGGGGGGGTATATAGGAGTCACCCGGTGGTCGGTCGGTTGGTCGGTGCGGCGGTCGGTCGGTTGGTCGGTCCAGACGTCCGTTGCATTTTCCTTGTCCGGAGCATAACTTGAAAACTAATGGTTGGAATTCAATATAACTTCATACAATGGTCAAGCACATTGAGAGGAAGTGCAGTGCACAAGAACCATAACTCTATCATGACTAATTACAGAGTTATTGCCCTTTGTTACTTTTCCTTGTCCGGGGCACAACTTGAAAACTACTGGTTGGAATTCAAAACAACTTCATACAATTGTCAAACACAATAAGGGGAAGTGCAGTGCACAAGAACCATAACTCTATCTAAAGTAATTACAGAGTTATTGCCCTTTGTTGCTTTTCCATTGCTTTTTTTTTGTCTGTTACATTTTCCTTGTCCGGAGCATAACTTGAAGACTAATAGTTGGAATTCAATATAACTACATACAATGGTCAAGCACATTGAGAGGAAGTGAAGTGCGTAAGAAACATAACTCTATCTTGACTAATTACAGAGTTATTGCCCTTTGTTACTTTTCCTTGTCCGTGGCATAACTTGAAAACTACTGGTTGGAATTCAAAACAACTTCATACAATTGTCAAACACAATAAGGGGAAGTGCAGTGCACAAGAACCATAACTCTATCTTAAGTAATTACAGAGTTATTGCCCTTTGTTGCTTTTCCATTGCCTTTTTTTTTGTCCGGACCATAACTTGAAGACTAATGGTTGGAATTCAATATAACTACATACAATGGTCAAGCACATTGAGAGGAAGTGCAGTGCATAAGAACCATAACTCTATCTAAAGTAATTACAGAGTTATTGCCCTTTATTACTTTTCCATTGCTTTCTTTTGTCCGGACCATAACTTGAAGACTTATTGTTGGAATTCAATATAACTACATACAATGGTCCAGCACATTGAGAGGAAGTGCAGTGCACAAGAACCATAACTCCATTTTGACTTATTACAGAGTTACTGCCCTTTGTTTCTTTTCCTTGTCCAGAGCATGACTTTAAAACTACTGGTTGGAATTCAAAACAACTTCATACAATGGTCAAGCACAATAAGGGGAAGTGCAGTGCACAAGAACCATAACTCCATCTTGAATAATTACAGAGTTATTGCCCTTTGTTACTTTTCCATTGCTTTCTTTTGTCCAGACCATAACTGGAAAACTTATTGTTGGAATTCATTATAACTTCATACAATGGTCAAGCACATTGAGAGGAAGTGCAGTGCATTAGAATCATAACTCCATCTTGACTAATTACAGAGTTACTGCCCTTTGTTACTTTTCCTTGTCCAGAGCATGACTTGAAAACTACTGGTTGGAATTCAAAACAACTTCATTCAATGGTCAAGCACAATAAGGGGAAGTGCAGTGCACAAGAACCATAACTTCATCTTGACTAATTACAGAGTTATTGCCCTTTGTTATTTTTCCTTGTCCAGAGCATAACTTGAAAACTACTGTTTAGAATTCAGTACAACTTCATACAGTTGTCAAGGACATTCAAAGGAAGTGCAGTGCACAAGAGCCATAACTCCATTTTGAAAAAAAACCCAGAGTTACTGCCCTTTGATACTTTTCCTTGTCCGGAGCATAACTTAAAACGTACTGGTTGGAATCCAAAACAACTTCATACAATGGTCAAGCACAATAAGAGGAAGTGCAGTGCACAAGAACTATAACTCTATCTTCAGTATTTATAGAGTTATTGCCCTTTGTTCTTTTTCTTTGTCTTTCTGGACTTATTACAGAGTAATTCAATTAAACTTCATCAATGGCCAACCACATTGAAAGGAAATGCAACATACATGAACCACAATTATTTTTAATTGCCCACAACCATAACTCTATGTTTCAATTCTTTTACAAGGTATTCTGTTACTAGTAACATCCTCATTTCCGAAGCAGACTTGTGGGGGTATTAATCACATTTAGTGATAGTTCTAGTTTGCATTATATTGCCATTACGGTAAATCAGAGTGCATTGAATTGTTTTGTTTGTATTTCCACATTGATGAGTTCCTCCTGTCACACTCATTTTCAGGTCAAAATTAAGGTTGATATCACAATAATTATCACTAGGACCTGTAATAATAAAACAAAACTGACCAATAAATTAAAGTGCATCAATCTTTGTATGTAGATGTATCATGATGAAGTCTACCTGTCAGCCATTTCTAGGTGAAAAGGTCAACGTAATCTGATATACATATTGTCCTTTTCTTTGTAAAAAATCCAGCACTGAGAGAACTTGATCACACTTTCCTCTGACAACTTTTGTTTATATTTTGGTATAAAAATTCTTGATTTTACAGTGGACTGCCCCATTTTCAAAATTAGGTAAATCCATTATTATTTAATACCATATTTATATGCATTGATGATTTCTGTGATAGATTAATAATGAATAGCAAAGTACAAAGTTATGAATGAAGCAGTTAGGTAATTATACAATGTATATTTTGTAACAGGTCGGCCAGATTGTTGCAGCTGATGCCGCAAGCTCCAATTTGAAGAGAGTCACGCTCGAGCTGGGAGGCAAGAGTCCAAACATCATTTGTGCTGACGCAGATGGTTAGTGTATTTTACAAGTATTTACTTCTTCTTCTTGTTTATTGTTTGTTATTTATGTACCCGGGAGAAGGCTGTCCAGCTGAAACGTTGGTATATTTAAGGAAATTTTTTTATTTATGTATATTTTCAAGGTAATTTTAAGAATTTTCAATTGACTACTTTTTAGCTCACCTGAGCATATGCTCAGGGTGAGCTATTAGGATCACTCTTCTTCCGTCGTCTGTCTACGTCGTCCGTTCGCACTTTTAAAACAACATCTCCTCTGTAACCATAAGGCAGATCATAATGAAACTTCATAGGGATGTTCCTTGTGTGAAGCCTTAACAAAGTTGTTCAAAGAATTCCATTCCATGCAGAACTCTGGTTGCCATGGCAACCAAAAGAAAAAACTTTAAATATCTTCTTCTAAAAAACCCAAAGAGCTAGAGCTTAGGTATTTGGCATGAAACATCTTCTAGTGAGCGTCTACCAAGTTTGTTCAAATAAAAGCCCTGGGGTCAAAATTGGCCCCGCCCCAGGGGGTCATTGATTTTCCCTATATGTATATAGTAAAAACTTAAAAAATCTCCTTTTAAAGAACCCAAAGAGCTAGAGCTAAGATATTTAGTATGGAACATCTTCTAATGGGTGTCTACCAAGTTGTTCAAATAAAAGCTCTGGGGTTAAAATTGGCCCCGCCCAAGGGGGTCATTGATTTTCCCAATATGTATATAGTAAAAACTTAAAAAATCTCCTTTTAAAGAACCCAAAGAGCTAGAGCTAAGATATTTAGTATGGAACATCTTCTAATGGATGTCTACCAGGTTTGTTCAAATAAAAGCTCTGGGGTCAAAATTGGCCCCGCCCAAGGGGGTCATTGATTTTCCCAATTTGTATATAGTAAAAACTTTAAAAATCTCCTTTTAAAGAACCCAAAGAACTAGAGCTAAGATATTTAGTATGGAACATCTTCTAATGGGTGTCTACCAGGTTTGTTCAAATAAAAGCTCTTGGGTCAAAATTGACCCCGCCCCAGAGGGTCATTGATTTTTCCTATATGCATATAGTCAAAAACTTAAAAATCTTCTTTTAAAGAACCCAAAGAGCTAGAGCTAAGATATTTAGCATGAAACATGTTCTAATGGATGTCTACCAAGTTTGTTCAAATAAGAACCCTGGGGTCAAAATTGGCCCCGCCCCGGGGGACATTGATTTTCCTTATATGTGTATAGCAAAAACTTAAAAATCTTCTTCGAAAAAAACCCGAATAGCTAGAGTTTAGATATTAAGCATGAAACATCTTATAGTAAGTGTCTTCAAAGATTGTTCAAAACTGGCCCTGCCCCATGGGTGACATTGTTTTTAAGTCTATGTGTAAAGAAAAAAACTTATAAAAAAACCCAACGAGCTAGACCTTAGATGTTTAGCATGAAACATCTAATGGGTGTCTACCAAGTTTGTTCAAATAAAAGCACTGGGGTTTAAACTGGCCCCGCTCAGGAGGGGGGGGGGGGCTAATATACAGGTGAGCAACTTTAGGGCCATCATGGCCCTCTTGTTACTATTTAATATTACATATTTATACTTAATAGTCTCAATACCCAGGCTATGTGAATGCTAGCAGGATTCATGACTTGCCTATTAGTCTCCAGTATTGTCAGATTTACCCATATTTAACAGCATAGAAAGGGGGGGACTGTGGCCATTTAGCTCAAGCTGTTGACTTCAAACCATTTGCCCCTCACTGCTATGGGTTTGAATCCTGTCAGATATTTTGGATTTCTTCATGTGAGGAAGCTATCCAGCTAGGTTAAGAAATGTTCGTGGTTCTATTCAGGTGTCTGTCCATGCCTAAAATAATGCACACAGGGGCATCTGAGATCTTCCTCCACCCGTACAGCTGGAGAAAGTCGCCATATGACCTTTACAGTGTTAGTGTGAGGTGAAACCTAACAACAAAAATATAGCAAATTGCATATACTTGTTAAATTGGAAAAATGAATAAGGTTAAAATTGTTCAGTTATAATTTCATGGCTATTCAATACAAAAGTATTTTAGCTGTTGTTACTGTTTAACAATGATTCAGCTATAATTGAAATTTTGAAAGTTGATACTTTAAAAGCATTGTGTTGTAAATCTGGTTTGTAGATTTTTAATACTGCTTTTTGTGCAGATATTTTTAGAACTACATTTATTTACATTATGCTATATATTTTTTGTTTTGTTAAACCAAATGCCTGTCTGCATTTACATAACTTATAATACATTGTGCATGTTTCTTTGTTGTGCAAGTAAGGTAATATGTTTTGAAAAATATCAAATTATTGTGCATTATTTATGCATGAAGGTTTCTGTACATGAATCTAATTGCTATCATATCTTGAGCCTACACTGTCCTCCAAAACTACGGAACTGGTTAGAAGTGCAGCAGTAAATTTTATTGAAAAAAATATATGTTTATTATTTTTTGTGCCTCTTGAATAGAATAATATCTGTCATATATTGTGGTTCAGATCGGAATATCTGTACAGAGGGGACTCTAGGCAAGCCTTGTTACCGCCCATGGAATCCGAACCGCAAACATATGTCAGATATTTTTTCTTGCATATTCTGCCATATTATTTCATATTCAAAATGGTTTACCTCAGTAAGATATTTGTTCATGGAAATTAAAGTCATTTTATCCATAAACATTTTCTTACAATAGGGTATGAATTAACAACTTTAATAACAACGAAAAAATGACATCCTAAGGACATAGTTCCCTTCTAAAATGGGGTAATTTTAACATGGTTCATGTTATAAAATGTGCTAAAATGAAGTTGTTGTATGGCACATGCCTCATCTGGCGGCACCCCCCCCCCC